CTGGGATTATAGGTGTGAGCCACCACACCCGGCCATTTGTGTTTTTAAAGGAGTCCTTAAAGGGTACCACCAGTTCTTTATTGATTGTCTGCTTATGTGTTATTCAGGCCTGCGTATTCATTTCCTTTCATGGTAGTGAAGATGGGGCTGGAGAGTTGATAGGGAATACAGAGGGACTTGGGCAAAAACTGATCAATTGGTTTTCCTCTAGACTTTTTCTTTAATGTGTTTAATCTTTGATTCACTGAGGGGAGACAAAAACAGACCCTTCAGACTTGTGTAGTTTAAATTTGGGAAACGTTTTTGAAGAATTCTTGTTGGTTAGAGTATGCATAAGGCTACTGTTCATGTTTTATTTATTTAAAAATTAATGCATGTCTATTGAGTATAATATTCAAGTCAGTATCTCATTATTAATGAACTTACCCCAGGTCTTGCCTCACTTGCAAACATTTTCACTTTTAAATGTTTTACTTTTGATTTAATTTCAGTCTTAGAAAAGTTGCAAGAATTAATGGCCACGTTCCCAGGTATCCTTTCCCAAGACTACCTGAGTGCTCAGAGGCTGCTACATTGATGTCATGATCCCTGTCTTTTTTATTTTTATTTTAAATATTCTGTATTTACTGATGCACGTACATAGGGTCTGAGATTAGACAGAGCTTTAGGAAATTCATGATTTGTAATTTTTAAATTTGCTAGTTATTTTGTCCAAATAACTCTTTACACCTGAGATACTCTTGTTTGCTTCACTAATTTTGCTTGTAGGTTTTTTTCAGAAATGCATTTTGATTGATAGAGCTAAAATTAATCGTTCTTGACATAAAGTATATTGTGTTCTTTACCATGGGTCTGCTCTGTTTAGTACTGCAATACCAGTGGGCTTATACCACCTACTGGTTTATCTCATTGTAACTCAGCTGACTACTTCATCTACTTTATGTGGGTTAGAGCTTAAGAGCTTAGGTTCTGAAGTCTGATTTGGGTCTGGTTCTTGGTTTCAGGTTCTGATGGTTCTGTATCCTGGGCAAATACCTTCGCCCCTCTGGGCCTTCCTTTCCCCATCTTCCAGATGTGTGTATGATGGTGCTCGTCTTGTGCGATTTTGCGTATGTGTGAGGAGTACGTCAGACAAATAGGAAGTGTGTAGTATATCTGCTGCTACTTTAAGGAGAACATTGATAAAATTTGAGTATCTTCTATCCCTAAGATGTCTCTGGCCTTTCTCTGATTTGTTTGTAGTTCTCTGACATCTGTTTTTTGTTAGACCCTAAATT